TATCTACAGCTGCCCCTCTTTACTGAAAATGGGAAGTATTTTCAGACAAAGAACGACTAGACAGGTTTTTTGACCCGACCCTTATTTAGAGAGACTAAAAACTAAAAGAAAGGAGAATGTGACCGAGCCCTGGTATCTGAGCTGCCTACATATCCTTAGCTATAAAGGAATCAGGCCACATGTAGTTCAGAAGTAGAAACTGTGATGGAGTATACTGAGGTGGAGAGTCGGTCGAGGTGCCGTTTCGCCGAGGTGCCGGTCTGCGGTCCTGTTATTACATGAAAAATCAAAAAATGAAAAAGACTAGCTTAGTCTGTCAACTACGAGTTACAAGATTCCTATCTATAAGTCTTCTGAAGCTTGATCTTGAGTCTTGAATGGTTCTTCATGCAGACTTTGGATTTGAACCTTGACGCTTACTAGTTGCAGGTGCTAGTTCATTCTTCTTCAGCTTTTCGGATCAAAACCGGACATACCATGCTTGTGACTTCAGTCATGTCTTGCAGCCCACATCTTTCATCAACTTCTACATTTGGATTCACTTCTTGCCTTTCTCTTTTTTTTTCTTTATTCTGGATTGTGACTAACTTCCGTTGATCATCTCGGACTGTTGACTCGCATTCTTGCTGCGAGTTTCTTTTGTTGCTGACTTGAATTGTATTCTGAAAAGAATTCCCTTATTCTCCAAGTAGGCGCCTGATTGGCAATACTCGAACTCTCTTCCTTCGAAACTTGGACTGCCTTCTCCTTGTTCTCCAGGTGGACGCCTGATTGCCAACATTTGAGTGGTATTCCTTCCCTCTGAAACTTGAATTGTTTTCCCTTTGTTTTCTAGGTGGGTGCCTGATTGCTGAACTTGAACCGTCTTCCTCTGAACATTGCTGCTTTCCCTTTGTTCTCCAGGTGGGCGCCTGATTACCAACATTTGAATTGTCTTTCTTTCCTCTGAAACTTCAATTATTTTCCCTTTGTTTTCCAGGTGGGCGCCTGATTGCTGAACTTGAACCGTCTTCCTTTCAACATTGTTGCTTTCCCTTTGTTCTCCAGGCGGGCGCCTGATTACCAATAGTTGAATTGTCTTCCTTCCCTCTGAAACATGAATTGTTTTCCAGGTGGGCGCCTGATTGTTGAACTTGGACCGTCTTCCTTCGAACATTACTGCTTTCCCTTTGTTCTCCAGGTGGTTGCCTGACTTCCAACACTTGCACTGCTTTTCCTTGAGACTTGAATTGTTTCCCTTTGTTCTCTAGGTGGGCTCCTAATTGTTGTCTTCCTTTGTACATTGCTGCTTTCCCTTTGTTCTCCAGGTGGGTGCCTGATTACCAACATTTGCACTGTTTTTCCTTGAGACTTGAACTGTTTCCCTTTGTTCTCCAGGTGAGCTCCTGATTGCTGAACTCCTTTGAACATTGTTGCTTTCCCTATGTTCTCCAGGTGGGTGCCTGATTTCAACAAAACAGACAAAACGAAGAAATTTTCCTGGCCCAGTTTGATATTGGGAACATCTGTGAGTGTTAACTGATTCTTGTTATCAAAATAAATTCTAAACTAAATTCCTTTATCCTGAAAATTTCAAACCAAACATCATCTCAAGGGTGAAAAACTTAAATGCCAAATCACACTTCCCAAAAGTAGACCTCTCGTCAGACCTTGTCATTTGCGAGGGCCTCGAAACTTACTAAATCCTGTTATCCAGGAGGGTACTGGAACTTCTGCCGAGCCTGTCTGGCGCTTGCTTTCCTTACGGAGGGTTTCTCCGAAACAAACAAAATTTTCTGCCCCTGTGTCAATCAAAGAAAACTTGTGAGTTTAAACATGGTGGTTGGTTTTTATAGGTTAGGTCTAGGTTATTATTTGGGTTCAAGGGTATTGGGCTCAAGGAATGGGCTAGAAACTTGGGCTTTTATGACTAGCTTTGCTTAAAATTAGCTTAATTAACTAAAAATCTATCCATATAGAAATATTACCAAATATATTAATTAGCCCTACTTAAGTAAAATAATTATTAAAATAAGACTGACCGTTAAAACAAAACTATTTTTGATATTTTTCAAGATTAAAAATGACTACAAAACATTGATGAAACTGTTTTTTGCAATTTTCATTTTCTTGTAATAAAATAATGTAAAAGAGTCAAAATTAGTTGAAATAGCGATATTAGGCCTAAATTAAATATTTACATGCTAAAATATAAAAAATCTTGGGGAGAGTCAAAAATCACATGTCTACAACAACTGGAACCATATCTGAGAGGAAAGTATTAAATATTTATACTGAATTCACTGGTAGTCCTCAACTTAGAGTTCCAAGTTCAAAAAATAAGGACATATAGTCCTGAACTTAGATAAGTTACAAGTTCAAAAGTTAAGGACACTTGGTCCTGAACTTCGAGTTCCAAGTTCAAAAGTTAAGGACACTTGGTCCCGAACTTAGACTAACAAGCTCAAAAGTTAAGGACAATAAGTCCTGAACTTACAGTTACAAGTTCAAATGTTAAGGACAATAGCACCTGAAGTCCTGAACTTAGACTAACAAGCTCAAAAGTAAAGGACAATAGGTCCTGAATTTAGGCTAAGAAGCCCAAAAGTTAAAGACAGTAGGTCCTGAACTTAGACTAACAAGCTCAAAAGATAAGGACACTTGGTCCTGAACTTACAGTTACAAGTTCAAAAGCTAAGGACACTTGGTCCTGAACTTGGACTAACAAGCTCAAAAGTTAAGGACAATAGGTCCTGAACTTAGACTTACAAGTTCAAAAGTTAAGGACAAGTAGTCTTTAACTTAGAGTTACAAGCACAGAACTTAAGGACAGGTGGTCCTGAACTTCGAGTTCCAAGTTCAAAAGTTAAGAACATGTAGTCCTGAAGTCCTTAACTTAGAGTTGCAAATTCAAAAGCTAAGGACATGTAGTCCTGAAGTCGTGAACTTAGAGTTGCAAGTTCAAAAGTTAAGGACACTTGGTCCTGAACTTTTATGAGCAGAAGGGTGTTTTCGTCCAGGTAGGTAAAGTTTATTAAAGCAGTGGCTAAAGACTAAAGACATTTTAAACAGTTGCTTAAAAGTAAATATATGTGTTATTAGTGGTTAACCGTGCACGTCCCCCTAAATAACATCAGACAAATGCAAAAATACTGCATGCCCAAAAATGCCCCTTAAAACATCAAATTTACATAAAGCCACGTCCTTTGCATTTTAATTTATCAAATATTAACAGTATTTATAGGTGCTTATCTGGTTTTAATGAAATGGCCACTACACGAAACACAACCACAGCTTTAACCACCGTGGAATCCACCGTCGGCGGTGGCGGAGGCTCGGTCAACGAGCTTAATGCTAAAGTAGTGGACAAGAGGTACGAAGGGCTTGTGATGGTACGGACAAAAGCAGTAAAAGGGAAAGGGTGTGCCTACCTTTAAGTTTTTGCCTAGCTATTATAGTTAGCTTTTGGCTTCAAATTGCATAATAGATTCGTGAGTTAGAGATTGTCAAAAGTTTCAGCGGAGCGGCTAAAAGTAAAATTGTCTCAATAATGTTCATCTGATTATAGGTGTTTAGGACCTAATAATTTCAAAGTTTTCTAATTCATATGCTTACTAATTCTTCCATGGAAGTCGTCTATATAAGGCTAGCACAAACCTAAACAAATGAAAATAACAATATAACCTCTTTCTATAGTTAGCATTAAGATCTCTATTATATTAAAAGCACGAACGCTCTTAGCAAAAAGTTGTTGTCTTTTTTACCTTTTAAAATAGTGTTTATACTGGACAATAGTCAATTTAATTAATTTTCTAATATTTAGGACACAGGTGGGGGTTTCTATTTGCTTGCAATGCAGCTGTTCACCTTTAGTTAGAAGTAGAAGTAGAGAGATCTGTTTTCCCCGCACTTCAGAAAAAATAAAAAGGTATTTAAAATCAACTAAAAGTTTGCTCATATCCTTATTTGAAACATAAAAGAACTCGTATATCGCTTAATCCAAAAAAGAGTATAATTATATAACTATAAACCAATGCAAAAGCGTGTCGAGATGAACTGGGCACAGCAGATGAGATTTCTGTAAATTTGTGGTATAAAAAATTGGGTTATATATGAGCGAGAAAAAATGCAAATTAGGATATTATTCATCTCTTTTACCAAAGGTACAACGATAAAACCTTACGATTATTGTTTATTTGGCAAATAACATAGAGTCTCAAAAACTAATTAAATATACTCGACCTATTATATTCAAATGTAATTTTGTTGTCAGTCACCATATATTAGATTCCCCTACAAAATGAAATTGGGTGCCCCCCATGACGATAATATATAAAAGGAATATCTCGTCGCTCTAACCATCCAAGACACTGTGCAAATGATGAAGAGAATAAACTTTAATTTCTTGATTGTAAGAAAATTGAAAAGAACCCCATATCACTTGAATAATAATATCTTCTTAAATATAATGATTACAACTTTAATTTAGATACTTAGCAGTTAGCACGATTTAAAAGAAAAAAATACCTCCAATATATATTTGTACCCGTATAAACCTTGAGTAGATAGTCTATGTAATTGGAATACCATTTTTCTCATGTGGGAGAGCAAAAACAAAGTGCTAAATACCACTTGAGATAAAGAAAATTATGTCAGGGAGCTAAGAGAGATCGAAAAGGTTTAAAATAAGAGTGTGCCTAGTATCTTTTGCTCTCTCTTATTATAAGAAGGAAGGGGCACGACCTCACTCAGCTCGAAGAAGTAGCTCTTTCGACTAATTCATACGTTTTCTTTCCTTTTTCTCTCTAATGTAAAAATATTGAATTTCATTTTTTTAAATACTGACGCATAGCATGTAAAGAAAAGATCTTTCCAAACACAACTTGAAAGTATCATTTGCTTTTAAACTAATTGAACTCATGAACACCATAAGAACATCAAAACCTCTTGATAAACAAGAGATGAGAAACCACTAACCAGCCCCTTCATTTCACTCGGAGTACTACTTTCATATAGCTATATAATTTCAAAAGTTTATTTATACTTATTAAACTTCACCCAAAGAGTTTACCTCAGCTCATTTAAAATTCTGGATTCGCGTTTGCCTCGTGAACTATAAGGCAACAGGCTAATACAAAAAATGTAAATACAACATACAAATTATACAGAACAACAAAGAGAGCATCGAACCAATCCATTCTCATTACAAAGTTGACACCTTCTAACTTGTCCTCCATCTTCATCAAAAAATTTCCTGCTGCCATCACAATTTGAGCAAGGCAAAAACCTTACATCCCCACAACCTTCACAAATATATCCAATTGGCCTTAAAGGAATACCTCTTAATAACTTTGGCAATTCACCAATTTCATTCAATTGCTTAATCACATCAGCTCCTCCGATATATTTCCCTTTTATAAAAACTTGGGGCAAAGTTACATTATTCTTCTCTCCCATAACACACTGTAATTCCTTCCGATACGCGATATGCATAGAAACATCTCTTTCATCAGCTTTAACGCGATAACTTCCTATGATCATTTTCACCGTATAACAATCCTCAAATGTTCTTCGTACTCCTCGTATACTTGTGAAATAAATTACCACGCGATCTTCTGTCCCAGGCAATGTACAAGAATTGTAATTAAATGACTTTGAATGCTTGGTTTGTGCTTTTGGAATTGAGGGTCGATGGTTGTCCTTACGAGAATCAAAAATTGAACATAATTTTTTCACTTTTCCTTTAAAAGATGTTCCCACCATTGAGCCTAAAGGTGAGCAATGGAGTTTCTTGATAGAGCCATTACGTTCAATAGAAGGAAGAGAAGGATAGAGATATAAGGTCTTTTCAGGAAATTCAATTGGATTTCTGGGGCTGTGTATAGTCTTTGATCTATTGAATTTTGATGATGTCTTTGCCTTGTTGATTTCTTGGTATTCAAATTCATTGTTCCTTTGATGATGATGATGATGATGATCCATTACAAAATTTGAGAACTTTTTATGATTTTTTCACGCAACAAATTCAGGGGTTACCTCTTAACAATCTACCAATGATCCAAAGATCAATGTATGTTAAGGAGAATTGATAGAAAAGCGTGGAATAAAAGCAATAAATTCTGGAAATGATATAAATATATGATAGAAATTGTTGATAGGAAAATTAAAAATTGTGAAGATCAAAATAAAATTTTGAATGATGAATATAGAGATAGTGGGAGAAAAGTGGTAATGGAGTTTCGGATAAAAATGTTGAAGATGAGGGGTGGTGACAGAGGGGTGGCGTAGGGTGGTGGGATAGCTTTATGACGAAGTTATATCTATACTAAAATGTTTTTGTTACAAAAACGGTGCAAAATAGCTTTTATCAGCGTTAGAGGAATTTTTCTTTTTTGGATGATTTAATTTATTGGTACAAAAATGATGTTTTTGTACGTTGAGCATATTGAGTTGTGCAGGATGGAAAAGAGTATTTGATTTGAGATTTTATCTTTCTAGAAGTTTGTGTATTCCTTACTTTGGATATAATTTGCATATAACTAAAATTTTCTGACTTTTCTTGTCCCTTAGTGGACATCAAATAGAACTCCAATAATAAAAAATGATGGTCATAGAATAGTTACGGTTGAAGAAACCGAAAAACTTGTTATATCCAGTAAATATCTAAAAAAATAAATTCACACGTGTCTCGTTCGTTTTACAGAAACTGTTATCACTCAACCTTGGCAATCTAACAAAATTTTGGATATAAGAATAGAACAGTAATAGTCAAGATTCTCTTCTACCTTCCACCGTGCCCACAATAGATATGGAGGAGGGAAGAGGGAGGGATGTGGTGAAATGGATGTAATACTTCCACCCTTAATCGAAGATTTCGGGTTCCAGCCATGTGAATGAGAAATCTCTTAATAGGCAGCGCTCCTCCCCTTAAATTAGCCCTATGCAGCGCAGATCTCAATTAATCAGGTGGTTCCACTATGCCTGATACCATATGGTTAAACCAAAAAAAGACATGGAAGGGAGAAAGATGGAAGAGAAAGCTGTACCATAAAAGCCACCCCTAGTTCTTTTTCTGATTCAACAAACACAGGCAAGAACATTAAGTAGGTGCTGCAGCTTAACAACAGGACAATGAGGAATGAAAAGTTCTCGACTGACCAAGTTGCAACTTGGACTTTAGTTATTTTCTCCCTAGAAAGGGAAGATCGACTCAAGATTTAATAAATTTCCTCAAACCAACTGTTTACTCTTGAATCAAATAGCAACAAGGAGCAGTGTATCAGGCATCCAGCATCCAACTATCCTTAGTCACGGGTTCGAGCCGTGGAAACAGCCTCTTGTAGAAATGCAAGGTAAGGCTACATACAACAGACCCTTGTGGTCCGGCCCTTCCCCCGACCCCGCGCCTAAAGGGAGCTTAGTGCATCGGGCTGTTGTTGTTGTTGGCAGTTAAATAACATTATGGGTTGCACAAAGTTGGAGGATTTATAGATGAGTATAATTGAAGAAAAGCACGCTGACATCTCTCAAGTTGGATTGGAAAGTACAGTAACACAAGAAAAGAAGGTGAAGATTCAACAACTCCCTTAAAGTATGCTTTAATTAGGGAAGCATGATAAACTTGTATGCATTTCTCAATGTGACAGGTCTTTCGACGATATAAATCAACAACGTGTGAGGAAAGCTACCAAATATAAAGTAAAGCTAAGGCACAAGCAAAATGACACCTCCAGGTACGAAAGCAAGTATCAATACAATATCACAGTTCCATGTTAGATAGAACGTCAAGTTACAATTCAAATGGAACTGAAATAATCAAATCCCGCCTACAGTTGATCCCAGCCATATCTGTTGATTACAACAACTATAGCATTTATTCTCAACACGATACTAAAATTTAATTCATCAAGATAGCATTTAGAGCATTTGATGCAAAAGCTAACGTTCACTTTCACTTACCTCTTATTCAGACAGAAGTCATAAAGAAGCCTGAGGTCAGGGACACAGCATCAACTCTCCAGCCTCCATGTTTGAGATTCTGACATTGCTTTGGAAACATCAGAAAAAAGGCAGTTACTGGGTTATAAAGCAGATAGGATGTTTTACACCACCAAGCTCTTTATAAAATCTTGAATATATCTCGTTTGGACCCGTCAAAGAGGCATAGAGGGATAAAAGAGGCATCTTCGAAGGCATGCACATAAAGGAACTATCATGCATCAATGAATAAGCATCTCGGGCGTAACCAAGAAAATGTTGAGAGCTTGACAGCAGGCTTTAATTCCAGAAAACAAAAGGTGAAGAAGAGAATTTTCCTACATTTTAATACAAATTTGATATTCATAGTTTAGCATCACATAAATCTGTATGAGGATCAATATTGAAAAAATGCCAACTTGAACCATGGAATGCTCGGAAAAAATCATCTGAAGAAGAGTCGATTGCATGCTCTTTTACGAACTGCCTGATTGCCAGGATATGCTTCCTAGAACCAGCAAATGTAAGGTTTTTGCACACTGACAAGTGTTGCTCATATGCCTCAAAACTGTTTCCAAACAATATAATATTATCCAATAGATCAGGCCTCCTATTTGCCTCCAGAAGATTGTCATACAGTTCAGCTTCACAATGTGGCATGAAGAAGATCATAGGTTTTAAAGCTTGTCGTCGACCCTGTTCATTTACTGTTAGGACAGAACAGCCAAGAGCTGCCAGTACCTTAGATTCTGCCAAAGATATCACTGGATCAAATACCTCTACCTCTCCAATCCAATTAAACATTCTTTTCATTAAGATTGCAAGACTAAGCTGTAATCTAGGAGGTTCATACGATTCTATGCTACCAATTCCATATATTACCATCGGCATCTTTCCTTCTGAGCACACAGCTTTTAGAAACTGATCAAGTATTTCAGGGGTTTGTAACTGATCCGAAAATGTCAACCAGAAGGAGGAGCTCTCAAGTTTCTTTATGCAGTTTTGCATCTTCTGCATCAATTTAGATTCTCTCTCTCTGGATTGGTCTCAATATCTGCCGGAGTCCACACTTCCTCTTGCTTTTTCCGTTGGTGGATGATAACTTTATGCAAATTCCTTTTCTGTTTCCCACGACGAGGCAATACGACTGTCCAGTCTTCAGCTGGGTTAGGCTTGTCATGAGCTAGTGTCTTTGCTGATGCAGCCATTCCTCTCAAGCTAAGCAGACCGAGTATGTTTGAAATATGTATGTTAGTCAAGGACTTCAAGAAAAAATGAATTATTAGAGTGTGAATATGAGAATTCTAACATAACACTTCCAAAGATCAAAAATCACTTTACTTGATTAATGACCTTTTAGTTCGGATGCTTTCAGCAGACACATGAAAGATACAAACTACTACTATTCATAAATTGTCATTGCAATAATCAGCCCTATAACATGATAATAAGTCCATACGAGAAGAAAGATACAGAACACTAACAAAAACTTGATACCCATGAGTTGAGCTTAAGCATTTATTTAGGAATATATCTGTGCTTTTCAGGGAATAAAATAGCAGTCCTCCTCAGGGAAGAGCACTTACAAGGCAGTTCAGTTCATTTAGGTTTAAGTTCGTCAAAAAATTGGACACATTAGGCTAATGATGACCTTTACCCCTGCATATAATTTATTAAAAATAAGGGAGTTGCACCCAGTAATTATACTTCTCTGCCCATGAAAAACAGAAGGAAAATAAAAAACTGCACAATATTTCATCTTATGTTTAAATTCTGATGGTTGAGCTCCCTCTTTGGGGTAATTCATGAATCAATAAACGCAAAATCTTAAATTGACATCCAAATAGGATACTAAGCAAATTTTAAGAGAAACATCCACACAAGTAAACCTCAAAAGCATTCCCTGCTACTCCCTCCATCGGAAAACACAATATTTCCGCAATTCCCAAACACTAATATTGGTAAGCAAGAGAAATTTAAACACAAGATTCAAATTATATTCTTTCTAAGTTCGAAATTATAAGTATGAAGTCCAAAGAGTAAGATTGAAAGACGAAAAAAACCCTTATATAAAATTGATTGACTTTTTTGGCCTTTCAGCATGCATTATTTCCTTAGTATTAACGTATAAAAATGTAAAATCATTTGAAATAAATAACATTAGATAAAACAAAAATAATGTATCTTTAATAGGAAAATCAATCAGCAAATTTATTGCCACCCAAGAGACTTTTCGATAAGTGTAACGTCTAGGAATTAGTAATAATTACACGTTATGTCTTATTATTATCCTGTTTAGGTTTATTTTTAGAAGACTTTATCAGGAAGAAAAAAAACTGTTTACTTCTAAATTTAAGGAATTAAAGGTTTCTAACATACAGACACATTAAATATTTTCAACCTTCTTGCAATTACACCCATTATTTTACTTTCATTCCCTGAAATTTTCAAGACTCATTCATCTTTTGGGTTGCCAGAGCTTAGCTTTGGATTTATTATTGTATTCTCCCCCAAAAACTTTCTTTCCTTCTCTAAAATTCTGCATTTTGGTTTGTCTTCTTCAGCTTTCATTTTTAGAATTTCCATCAACAATTGCCTCTCCGTCCTAATATTCTGGCTTCCGATGCCGAACACAACATAATTAGGAAAAGAACATCACAAGCAAAAGGTTTTGGCAAACACAATCGAGTAATATTTTTCTCTTTATGTATCTTTATATATATAAATTCTACTACAAACTAGCATATGCTCTCATATATCCGCGAATGTCTGCGTGTGAAACTGGAAGCAGAAGCAGGGTGCTTAAGAGAATCAACAAGAAATATAAGACAATCAGCGAAATATGAAATTTCAAACAAGCTGAAAACATTAATTCTACAGTATATAGTAAAAAGGGATAAGAATAACAATACTTATCATTCAATCGAATCACTCAAATTTTTAAGAGGACGGTCAATTATTCAAGTTAATCATCTAAGAGAAACAAAATAAACAAATGAATTTAGACAATTCAATAGGAATACAACAAATTTGCAAAAACATATAACTAATCGGGAAAAGGGAAAGCACATGTATGCAGTTGAGAAAACATATGAGAGAATTGAAATAAGAAAGGAGAGAGTCTTAGATGAAAGCGAAAGAGAGAAGAGATGTCCTTCTCCTAGTAAAAAATCAAAAATCAAACTTGCTCTCCTTCAATTCCACCATTTTCCCTTACCTATGTGAAAATTGGGAAAGCAAAATTCCAAAGATAAACATAAATGTAGAAAATGTTTTTATTAATTAAACAAAAAATATCGGGCTCGAGTTATGATTGAGAGATTTCAAGTACTGTTAACCAACAGTACGAAGATTTCATATTTCACTTGGATTTAGGGTTTTGTACTATGAGATAGGGATAAATGAGAGTAGGATTTGCAGCAGCTAGCCGATTTTAGGGGTGCTACTTATTTCAGCCGAACATGGCTAATTTCATACATGCACTAAAGGAGAGCAAACTACCACTACTACTACCAATTTCAATGTTCAAGCTTCTATTATTTTAAATTTGCCTTAATTACCAAAGTTATTGGATTGTCTTCTTTCTTTTGGGGTTAGTAAGCATAACAATTAAACATTAAAAATATATATATAAGGTTGGAATAATATATACATGTGATACACAAACGATACACACTATGATACACATATTATTTTTTTTCATGTTCATCTTCAACTTCTAATTTTCAATTCAAACCACCTCAAAATTTCACCAAATCTTCCCAACACTGAGATTCAAGCTCCCTAAGATGTACCCAATCTATTCTAATAACATCAACTCAAAAGAAAGTAAAAATTTGACCTTTTTTAGGCTACAAATAGCTAATTGGCTAACATTGATAATATTTTAGAAATTGGCCAATATTTATAATAAGTTACTTATAAATGGAAATAGCTGATATTTTCCCTTTTTTTTTACTAAAGGTCTGGGCTTCTAAACAGATCTTTAGGGTTTTTGTTCCGTACTTACATATTTTTCTTGATAATAAAATTTTTATTTATTAAAAAAATATTAAAGTATATATGTATCTCATCTATCCTATACGGTCCTCCTAAATTGGATCTCATATTTGTCTTTTCTTTTAAGTTTAACCTTTGTGAAAAAAAGTTATTAGAGTGTATATTTACATTTTAAGATTAAAGTTAACAATTATAATTGGCTTAAAAATACAGGATAATAAGGCCCCGTTTGGCCATGAGTTTTGCCAAAATAAATTTGGGATTTATTTTCAAAACTCATGTTTGGCCATAAATTTTGCCCACATTTTGGCCAAGTCCCAAATCCCAAATCCCAAATCCTAAAATCAGCTATTGTGCTGATTTTAGGCCAAAATCCCAAAACTTGAGAATTATATACATGTTTTTCCAAAATAAAGTTGGAAAATATGTTTGAAAACGTATGTCCAAATACATTTTCATCTTCAAACCAAACTTTACCCAAATCAGATTTTTCAAAATAAATTTGGGATCTATGACCAAACGCTAGCTAAAAATAGTATGAATTTTTGGTTAGCATAACTCATATTGAGGCAAAACTCTTTTCAAATTCAACTTGCTTGTACACGAAATTAAGACTTTTAACTGCATCCTTCTCGCCCCGAAAATGCAACAAAAATATATTACACTAGTGAACTTGTCGCGCTTCGCGCGAACTTTTATATTTATGAAATGAATTGTTTGCAATATTTAAATGATTAAAAGTATAAAGTAATAAGTTGTGAAGGGCTATTTTATTTGTGTCTTAGTTCTTTCATAGCATATTTGGTTTAACAAAGGAAAGGAGAAATATAAAGAAAAGGGAAATTTATTTATTTAATTGTCGTATAAGATATTCATAATTTATTTTGTTGGTTGTTTGGTGTATTGAGAAGAAAAATGGTCCTTCAACTTTCATCCTTTCTTCTTCTTTTTTCACCTCAACCAAAGATGGTTCTAATTCATACGATTATATGATATTCGATAGAAATTTATTTTAAGCAAATTTAGATCCCATTGCATCTCTTTTGAGATTTTAACCTTTGGGATTAGATTAATACTTTATTAGCGCATTAATCATTAGGGAAAATAATCAATAGTGATCAAGATTTGTTCGTAAAAGAATAATTGCTTGTTGTTGGCCAAGAAATCGAAGTGTTTTTCATGAATCAAAAGAAAACATCTCAAAGAAAGAATGTCTATTGTATTTGGGTAGAATCTAATCAAATACAAATTATTTTAAAGAAGTTTTAGAAATTTTTCCAACAAAACATTTTCAAAAAATAAGTTCAAACACTAATAGAACAACACTTATATGTGGAAACGGTGATTGAGGTGGTGAAACAGATAATAACGTGTGTTTTCAAATAGTTCTTTCTCCATGTTCTTAAAAATTTCTTCGAAAAAATATTTTCAAAAAGTTCTCCAAACGGTGATTGAGACAACAAAATAAATATTATCATATGTTTGTTCTAAATAGTTGCTTGCTCCTTGTTCTAATTAATATTTTTTTTTTTTTTTGGTTCTCACTTTTCCCCCCTTCTTTTCTTCCTCTGTCTTTTCATTTTGATATCCTTTCTTCTCACCTCTTAGTACCCGTCACTTATTCAATAAAAACTAAAATCACTTCTCTAAATACAGGCAAAAACTCTTTTCCTTCAAAAATCAAAATAACATCCTAAAAGTAGTCCGCTGTCTCATAAGATCATCTCTACTAATTAAAATATTTTATTATTTTCTTTCATATAAGACCCACAAAAGCAAAATGGTAGAAAACAAAGAGACAACCATGTCTGAAGTTCACTCGGGCGAGAAAAGAGTAGAATGTTAAAGTATAAAGAGAAAAAATTTAATACCCCACTTCGATTCCATCAAAATTTTAAGTGAAATTTTCTTGTTCAACTTACCTATTGCTATGCTATCTTATTTTCAAGATGTCATTTTTTTAACTTCTTGTCCCCTTAGTTTATAAATCATTACTGAAGATTCTAGCACAATGAAACTATTCAAGAACATCTTATAATAATTGATCATCACTAAAGCGATGTTAAGATTGTAAAATATTTTTTGTCCAAAGAAAAAGCATCCAAATCAAGCGGGAGTCTGTGATAGTAATTGTACTACTGCACACTTGACAATTTATAAAAAGCCACAAGTTTGACAATTCATGAAAAACTACAAGTATGGTTTGCGATCATTTAACTCATCATCCTATGCCTCACTGCCTCACGATCAACCAAATATATGATGTTGATATATGTTTAGACCATGGCCAAAGAAAATCATATGGTCCAATTGAGAGCTGCCCTATAAAGCATTGCAAAAATTTGTGCATTGCTGAAAACATCTCCTACTTTGTAATTTTCAAAGAGCTTCTTGTCCTATACAAAAGAGAATAAGGAATTATACATTTTTTAAATAAAAAAACTAACTTATCAAAATTTCATAGCAAGAATATGAAAATTAGCATGAGAGAGAGAGAAAGAGCTGACACAAACCATAGATCCACGCAAATAAACTACTCTAGAGTACCAAAGCGTCAAGTATGAAAATTTAATTGTTTCTCAAAATAATATAGGATCCTCCTACCTTACAATTAAACCGGTTACCAATTGTGAAAATTTAAGAATACGATAGCCTTCATCGTCTTTGCTATTTGAAGTGAGTGAGGGAGTAGCTTTGAGTCTTCCATGACCATGGTAAGTAAACCATTTTCTTTGTTCGCTTCACATGTTTTAATTTTCACACTTGAGAAAAATTAAAGAACGTTGAAAATAATCTTCATGGGAGCACGTCTATAAGACATACTTTAAATATGTTAAAAGATAGTGTATATGTGAATGCAATTATACTTTTCATTTATAAATACACATTAGCCTGATAATTCTTGAGCATTTATGCATTGAACTAACAGAAGAACAAACCAAACTATCAAGAAGTAATCAACGAAGTAAATTAGTAACTATTGCAAGATCAATTTACCAATTGTACTTTCAGACATAATATCTGTATGAATACAAACTTAAAATATATCCCAATCATATTATATAAGAAGCTATCAAGTGAAGAATGATAAGAAAGTATGGGAAGATAGTGTCGGTGTTCTCTTATATATTAAAAGGAATAAATTTATGTTGTATTGTTTGAGAATTAAGCTCCTGGGTGATCTTTATTTTCTTGTTACCTGGTCATATTTGAAAATCATTTAATTAGTGAAATACTCTCGTAAATCAGAGAGCAATAGTTTTATATACACTTCTAACCAAAAAAAAAAAATTAAAATAAAACAAAGAAATGTGAAAACTGTAAAATAAAATATAAAAAAAACGCACTATACATGCCCGTAAGAGTCCATCTCTGCAACTCAATATGCGTGAACTGGCCAAAAATTAGAATTAATACTAAAACTTCTTATCGAGACTCCTTTACTTCCTCGAGGACACTGGCTTAACCAACAACAATTAACGAAGAAGGAAATCTGAACCGCAAAACTATGTACTTACCCTATGAGGGATTTAATTGTTAGAATATCTATTTGAACCCTCGAATAAAAATTCTTCTCTGCTTTATTGTTTTCTATGATACCAGGAACGGGAATCACGATTTTCATATCCAAAATCTAACGAATCTATTATATAAAAGCAAAAAATAACGTGAAAAAAGAAGATGTACTGGATATTGTTGAGCCTCACCATATATAGCATCTTTTGTCTTCAGCAAGAACCAATCAAGAAGCACAGAAGCGTACAACAACTTTTTGCAGAGTAAGTCTCTATTATTCTCCTGAAAAATCACATATACGTAAGTGAGAAGACAGAGATAGAAATTATATCATAGACATAATCATACAATATAGAACAGACAAATTTGAGGATTTATTTATTGCGTTGGTACGAACACAACCAATGGCAGTTCTTTGAGAATTTTAGAGAAACTGATTGCTTTCTTTGGGCCATTAATTGAGGATTTCTTCAATCTTGGTACAGAAGTAATTGCTTTTTGTAGTACTTGCTTGCTTGCTTAGGGACGTTACTTTCCTTTGGAATTGTAACTTATAAGAAATACCATAAATGCTCTCTTAATAGTCGTGACTTTTGGATATTTAAAAACAGCAGAAAATAGTAAAAATGAGTTAAAAGTCAAAAAATTGACAAAATAGATAATTGAGTTTCCTGGGAAATAGGGATGCCACATCAGCTGGCCAATTCCTAGCTTTATACATATATATAGATGCATAAGATTGTTCTATAGACGATACAAACACAAAACTTAAAGGTGAATTTTCTTCTATTACACACAAACTTCAAAAGAAAAAATTAGTTATACTCATTGCCATGCTTTCATGCAACAATATTATATTAGACTAAGATTGCACAACTTCATATGAAGCACTTAAGGTGGAATGAAAAAAACTGCATTACAGAATTGTCAATGAACAATATCTAACAGTAAAATTGGGTGAAATATCATAGATGTTGCACTTCATGGTTAATCTTTATAGTAAGTCTTTTAAACTTCTTCATTTAAAATAGCCATTTAATCAGAGAAAACCTTGTCTTATACAATTTGAAATTTATTATTGTGCTGTGTGCAAGTGTATGCTAAATTTTAAAGCAGACGCACTTTCCCGAGTTAATCCAAACTGAAACGTTTGAGCTCAAAAACGTAAAACAAAAAAGTGGTAGAAGAAAGTAATTCAAAGAGAGTGAATATACTACACTAATTAGAAAAGTGGTAGATGAAAGTAATTCCAAAAGAGTGAATGGAGGTCTGAATCTTAATCATTCAGATCTCAGATATTAAGTGTATTTGTTTTTAAAGTTTGAATCTTAATTATCAAGATCTTAATCATTAAGTGTGTTTGTTTTTTTTACTTCACAACCACTTAATGGGTCTGAATAGATCTGTATGATTAAGATGTATAACAGAGACTTAATTTCATTAAGATGCTATCACATATTCATTATTAATTGCCGCCACCGCCTATCATTATCAACTACCACCATGCCACCACCACCAACATACTCAACCACCACTACCACCACCTACCACCACTACCACCACGCCACCATCATCCTCAATCATAGCCTCTATTATCGACCATTCCCACCACTCCGACCACCATCATTCTGACCCACAATCAACACTCATCCGCCTCAACTACCACAACTGACCACCCCATCACCATCAACAACCACATCGGACACTGCCTATCATTATAACCTACCACCACTCACCCACCACCTTTCTCAATCACAACTACTACCACCACCCGACATTATTAACTATCACCACCCACCACCACCATCCTCAATCATAATCGCCACCACTACCAATCACTACTAGCTACTAGCATGAACCACCATCATCAACCAAAACTACCACCAACCACCGCCTCTAGTCGGCATTCACCCGTTAGCCATCACCACCAACAACTATCATATTTTTAAAAACTATACATTTTTATTAATAAAATATTAGATTAGTTAGTATTTCATTTGAATTTTACGTTTATTAATTTTCAAATAAAGATAAATTTTATACATTCAGATATTAAAAATCAAACAGTCTTAATTATTTCTGTTCAGAACTTAATACACATCTTAATATATTCAAATGTGTATTCAGACTCAGATGTCTTAATCTTAATACACATCTTGATATTCAAATGTGTATCCAGATTCAGACGTCTTAATCTTAAAAAAAAAAACAAATGAGGCCTAATTGGAACTTCATGCCAATGACTTCCCATTTAATTGATATATTGTTTACTTATTGGAAGAATAATTACTATTTGGAACAAAATATTAAGGCAGAATAGCCTAATAAATACTTTTATTTGTCCTCCTTTGTCATCCCGGTCCCGATACTCTACGAAGTTTCATCTAGACACTCACAATTTTAAAAACACATTACTTTAAACCCCTATGACTGTTGACCAAGCCTATGTGGCAACTTCATGACCGATTTGGACAAAATAAGTGAATTTCACGCGCATAACGAGAGTAAACATAAAAAAGGTAGACAAAAAATGATTAAAATAAGAAGAATGAAATAAAACGAGAAATAAAAGCAAGAGACAAAAAAATATAAGAAAAAATAAAATATCTCTATTCTTTGTTCTATCCTTTTTCCCTAAGGGTGTCAATGAATATTTAAAAACCGACTAAACCAACCGAACCGCACCGCACCGAACCGAGTTTTAGATTTTTTTTTTTGGAAGAAACTGTAGGTTTTTATATAAATCTATAACCGTACCGATAATTAGGGCAGATTTTTTGTTTTATATAAATAAACCAAAAGAATACCGAACGGTATTTACATGTGAAAAATATATTTATATAGTAAGTTTAAAACTAATAAAGCATTAAAATTTTCATTGGGCCTTGGAATTATGAAAATTGTTACAAGCCAATAAGTAAGTAAACTCAAAATACTAATTCCTAAAACATATTATGCTACTCATACTTAAACTAAGCTATTTCAAGTATCTTTATTAGCAAGACACAAAGTATTCTAGCGATTATGAGTAGCAAACTACAATGTTTTGAATATGTTTCCTTTCATATAATTTAGATTTATCTTTTTGAATATTTAATATAGACTTTATTCTTGAGTCCCAACTTGGTTAATATCTTTCCACTCGTGTGATTTATATTTTCTTTGCTTTTACTTGGTTTCTTTTACGTTGTTGTTGAATAGTTGTGTATCTATACTCTAGCGATCTTTCATGTTTTTTAATTCATTATCCTTTAAATACTAAAATTGTCTAGAGAGTTTTGCTAAGTCCTATAAAAGAACGTATGTTATTGCATTCGAATTTTACATGACATTTACAAAAATACCGAAAATTAACCGAACCATACCGACACCGAAGTGAAACCGACATAATTGGGACGATTTCAAAAAGTCTAATTTTGATTATATATAATAGAATAACCGAAAATTAGTATGGTACAAATTTTATGAAATAACCGGTCGAACCGAACCATTAACACCCCTATCTATCTCCAGCCCACCCCCATTTCTTTTCTCTTTCTATTCTTCTCCTTTCTCGTTGTTTCCCACCCATTTCTCATTTCTATATCTTTTTATCTTTCTTCCCCTTCCCGTTTCCCCCACCCCCACCCCCACCCCCACCCCCACCCCACACCTGCACCCCTCCCCCCCTCTTCCGTTCTTCCTCAAAGGCGACCCTTTTCTTTTCTTCTTCTACCCTTTGATTTTGGGGATTTGCTGAATCGCTATGTATGTCTCTTATTCTACTTCGATTACCTGTTTGATGACATGCCAATTAGAGTGTTTATATCAAGTGGTCTTCAAAATTTAAGCAACTAATTGTTGCTTTTATTGATAAATCTACTGGGTGTTCGTTGGCAATTGATTAGCTTATTTATCTAATTTCAATTATTTCTCAACGTGCTATGGTTCAAATTTTCTCTTATTTGGAAATTTATATATGGAAGTTTATATAGTAACTTTATTTCATTTATACAACTTCGTTTTTGGAATTTTTGGGGGAACAGGTGACAAAGCGAGAAGACACAGACACTGGGAAGTGGAATGACGGGAATTGTAACAACTGTAAACATATCTTGTTTTTTCTTTTTCCTGTTTCTTTTTGTGCGTATATGTCATGAGCAGCAATATTAGTTCATTAGAACACTACAAGATTCTTAGCATTGAATGAACATTACAAGACTTTTAATGGTGTTCTCAGGTGGCTGGAGGAATTTTTCGGCGATGGCAGTGGAGTTGTTGGTGGTAAGGAGAAGAGGTAAAAAATGAAGATAAAGTCAATAATTTATTTTCCTATGTGGCACTTGGAATGATGTGGCATCCTATGTATAGGAGATCGTATTATATGCAGAGCAGTCTCCTATTATAAGCGTTTATTATATACAATTTGAACGAGTGTAAGTGTTTAATTGGCAAAATATTAAGTTTGGGGACCGGCATGATAAAGTGGCAGAAGTATAAGTGCCATTTAGCCTATTCTGCCAAATATTAAAGGAGTAGTATATCAATGAGGAATAAAAATGTCTTCTAATTTTTTATGGATATTTTGATAAATTAAATTTTATATCTATACTATATTAAAAATACGAAGGCCCTTAGTGAAATGTCGTTCGCTTTTTTTATCCTTTTAAAATAGAGTTTGGATTAGACAAAATAGTCATTTGACATGAAATAAACTAAAATTTTGGTTATTAAATATTTTCTTATTTGAATTATTTAGATGTTCTAATATTTTTTTTGAAGTTTGCTATAAATATAAATGTAACGACCCGACCGGTCGTTTTGAGTTCTAGCGCTCCGTTCAGCAGCCTGAGGTCGTGAGCAGCTTCATTTCAGGTATTGTGACTTGTGCGCGTGGTCGGAATTGAATTTCGGGAAGTCCAGAGTTGATTTGGAAAGAGAATTCTCATTTGGGAAGCTTAAAGTTGAAAGAATGAACTAGGATTGGAATTTTGAGTAAACGACCTCGGAATCGGGATCTGAAGGTTCCAGCGGGTTCGTATGATGAGTTCGAACTTGGGCGGATAACCCGGGAGCGTTTTGGCGCCTATTGTGGAAGTTAGCATTTTTGAAGAAATTTCATAAGTTTGGCTTGAAGTGCATTTCAGTGATATCGATGTCCGTTTGGGATTCCGAGTTTGTGAATAGCTCCGTATGATGGTTCTGGAGTTGGGAGCGCGATCGGGAGTGAATTCGGAGGTCCGTAGGTCATTTTGGAGTCATTTGGCTAAAGATAAAAATTTGAAGGTTTTGAGAAGTTTGACCGGAAGTTGACTTTTTGATATCGGGGTCGGAATCTGGTTCCGGAAGTTGGAATAGGTCCGTAATGTCGAATATGACTTGTACGCAAAATTTGAGGTCAATCGGACGTGATTTGATAGGTTTAAACATCGGAAATAGAAGTTTGAATTTTTGAAGTTCATTGAGTTTGGATTGGAGGTCGATTCATGATTTTAGCGTTGTTTGATGTGATTTGAGGCCTCGAGCAATTCCGTAATGTGTTTTAGGATTGGTTGGTATGTTTGGTTGGGGTCCCGGGGGCCTCGGGTGGATTCCGGGTGGTTAACGGATCGAAATTTGGATTTTTGGACAGCTGAAGGAATCTGGTTGCTGGTATTTTCGCTTCTGCGGTGGGTTGACCGCAGAAGCGGCACCGCAGAAGCGGACAGGGAGACTCAGAAGCGGGTTTTGGTCTAAGGCTTGAGGACCACAGATGCGGTCAAAGTACCGCAGAAGTGGGACCACATCTGCGGAGAAAGGGTCGCAGAAGCGGATGGGAGTATCTTGGAGAGGACCGCAGATGCGGTCAAAGTTCCGCAGAAGCGGGACCGCATCTGCGGGTGGCAAGTCGCAGAAGCGAGAAAGGGGTGGCTCTGGAAAGACCGCAGATGCGGCATTTTAACCGCACCTGCGGAACCGCAGAAGCGGCCAAGGAACCGCAGGTGCGGAAACAGCTGAAGCAGTGAGGTCTTTTAAGTTCGGGGTTGAGTTCATTTCAACCCCATTTTTCGTCCATTGGAGTCGATGGGGAGCAACTTTATGAGGTAAGTAATTTATGCTAGCTCGGAGTTAAATACAAGGTTTATATATGGATTTAGACTTGGAAAATTGTATAAATTTGAGGTTTTGGTGGAAAACCTAGAAAATTAGTAATCTTGGAATTTAGCCACGATTTTGAGTATGGAATTGAGAGAAAATTATATATTTGAGTTCCTAAGGTCATGGGTAATCTGTATCTTCGAAGAATTTCGGATTCCGGGCACGTGGGCCCGAGGGCGTTTTGGTCAACTTTTCGATCGGAGTTAGGAATTTCTATAAATTAGTTTGTAATGAATATTTGAGCATATATTAATGGATTTGCATGACCGTTGGCTAGTTTTGGAGCGTGGTGCATCAACTAGAGTCTTCGGAAGGGCGTGGAATGCCGGTTATGGATCTTCGGAGCGAGGTGAGTCTCCTTTCTAACCTTGTAAGAGGGAATTGTCCCCATAGGTGAAATAATATATTATGTGCTCCTAATTGCGGGGACTACGTACGCACGAGGTGACGAGAGTCCGTGCGTAGCTACTATTATGCTATTGTTCGGGTAGTCTAGGACCCAAAAGCATGCTATACTTTGAATATTTGTAATCTTATGGATAGTTGAATCGCTTAAACCACATCAAAATAGTAAATGAATTTCTAACAAAATCTAAACCTCATTTTCGTAAATTGTTGAAAGAGAATTAGCTTTTCTTTGAATAAGTGCCCCATGTTGGCTTCTTGATTGAATGTCTCTACGTGTTTATTTTGGAACGGGCCGAACGCCTCGGCAGATTAAATAGATGCATCTATAGGCGCGCCGTCGACCCTCGGCAAGTGCACAGTTTAATTCTGTTGGATCGGGCCGTCGCCTCGGCATTATATGCACATGCTTGTGTTGCTGCCTTGAACTTGATTAAGTTATTATTGCCTCTTCATGGCTTGAAAACATTTGGATAATTACGAAAAGGAATTTTGAAAATTGCCTATAAAAGAATTAATTGTTTACTTGTTTCCTTCAATTGGATTAAAAATCATGTTTATAGAAATCCGCGATTTAATGTTTTATTGATAGCACATTATTGGACCCTTAGTATGTGTCGAAGTCGACCATCTCGTCTCTACTTCTTCGAGATTAGGCAGGATACTCATTGAGTACACGTTGTTTACGTACTCATACTGCACTTCTTTGCATTTTTGTTGCACAGGTATATGTTACTCTAGCGGCCTACTGGGCATAGCAGCACGGATGATTCGGGGACTAGGTGAGTTGCATTATTCGAGGCGGCCCGCAGCTAGTAAAGTCCCTTCCAGTAATATTTCCTTTCTGTCCACTGTATTCCGGATGGATGTTGTATTGTATTTTATGTCCTTATCAGTAGATGCTCATGCACTTGTGACACCGGGTTCTGGGATGGTTTGACATATTTTGTATTGATTGATTATTATTTAATTAGATTTGAGACAATTATCTTTTAAATTGCTAAAGTTGAAGGAAAAATCCTAGAAAATCAAAAGTAATAAAACGAGAATTTGATTAAGTAAATTGGTTGACTTGCCTGACAGCAGTGTCCGGAGCCATCACGACCCTTAGTGGATTTTGGGTCGTGACAACATGGTATCAGAGCACTAGGTTCCTAGGGTCTCATAAGTCATGAGCAAGTCTAGTAGAGTCTCGCGGATCGGTACAGAGACGTCTGTACTTATCCTCGGGAGGCTGCAGGACTGTTAGGAGTACTTCCCTTCTTGATTCCTTATCGTGCGATTTGATCCCTGGAGGCGTATGTCTTTAATTCATTCCTACTCAATCGTACGCGACGCAAAGCGCTTGTTATAAATCAAGAATTGAAGAGTCATGATGGTACTACGGATGTGGTGCGGGATGTTTCTCCCGGTATAGTTGATCGGATTATTATCGTCGCTTTATGGAAGAATATTTTATTGTTTCAGCTCAGTAACGGTACTTCTGAGGGCTTTGAGGCTAGGCACAAGTTGCCATGATGCTTATGAATGACTGCTCCGCAGTAGTGATATGATGGTAGGATGTTGACCACGTGTCGGGGCAGTGAATGACTTGATGGGAGGTTTACTCAGTGCATAACCAAGAGATTCAGTATTTTATTCCCGGTAGGGGAAAATGCAATCGAACTAAGGATGGTCAGATGTGGGCTGGTGGAAGTAATGAGACTTGGTATTTGCAAGCGTAGTGGAGTTTTCTTCTATGTTGGGGTGTTGTTGTCCTAATTGAACGTATTAAGTGTGTCGGTGTTATAATCTTCTACAATTCGCCTTTGGGGCAAGATATCGTGAAATAGTATTGGAGATACAACTGTCAGATATCGCAGGGTGCGGAGGTTCAGGATTGAATCAGTATTTCTAATGTTGACGGTTCGATAAAGATGACCTTCGGAAAGGTTTAAAGTTAGCAGCAATTGTGGGTTCAAGTGCCACGAAGATAGATTTTTATTTAAGACAGCCACTGAATATCAAAGGACGAGGAAGGACATGTGGGAAGCGTCAGGCGGTGTTCAAAAATTCTAAAAGGCCAGGTATATGAAGCGAAGGTCGAGTAGTCGATTAAGGGGATGAGTTCCGCCAAAGTGGGAGAGTGGCGGAATTGCATATGGGCTTTGCAGTGGGATGACCACGTACCTTAAGGAGAGTTTGGGGCGATTTGAGAATATTAGTGCTTGGTTATTGGGGTCTACGGGTCTAATTTGAAGTAGGGGTTCTTGTGCGGCAGGAGATTTAATATAATGGAAATGAGTCACTTGAATGAAGAAGGATGCATCATAACTTTGAATTGGAAGGACGTTGCCGCACATTTAAATGATGTCCACGAGGGGTAAATGGACCTGTGCAGCTGGAGAGTGAGCTCAGACTCAGGACGGGTTGTTGATGTCGTAGTGATTGTACCCCGTGTAGCAGCACTGGAAGATGTCGGGAGTGATTTCTACAGGTAGTTCATCCCTGTGAGCAGGTTAGCGATCGCGTGGTTGGCGAGCTTCAGCGAAGAATTCTATTGGTTATACAACGAAGGGATCGGTCGTGCGAATGTTGTTGATGATTCTGAGTATAAAAAGGGAGTTTTCTATAGTAAGATATCGGGCATGTTGGTAGTTGATTGCGCAAGGATTGTGTCACAAGGAGACTTAGAATCCTGGTAAACTCCAGAGTTGTGTAATAGTGGCTTCGAGCTAAGTGGGAGAGTCCCACCGCCTATGATGGGGTTGCATGGTTAACTATTTGCGAGGTTTCTGGTTATTAGCATATCGATGGGCTATTCAGCTATGAGAAAAGACCGTAAGTGGTAATTTGAGCAAAGGAAATTATTAAAGGTGGGCTATCGTTGACCTTATTGGCCCATGTCCGGACTTGGGGAAGGATTCAAGATTGTGTTTGTAAAGATGCGGGTTCCAAGAGAAGGGATTCTGCCAGGTGCATCACCAATGGGGTATTCATGTGCTAGAATATTTATGGAATTAATTATATTCGGGACCAAGTCAGAGCGGGTG